CACACACATATATATATATATATATATATATATATATATATATATATATACATATATATATATATATATATATATATATATATATATATGTATATGATATATATATATGAATAATATATAATATATATATATATATATATATATATAAACAACAAACACAAACACACACACACACACACACACACACACACACACACACACACACACACACACACACCATATATATATATAATATATATAATATATATAATATATATATATATACATATATATTTATATATATATATATATATATATATATGAATATATATGTATGATATATATATATATATATATATATATATATATATATATATATATACAAACAAAACACAAACACACACACACACACACACACACATACACACACACACACACACACACACACACACACAATATATATATATATATATATATATATATATATATATATATATATATATATATATATATATATATATATTTGGTTGATCAACAGTCCAGCAACAAAGTATTGTAGTGAGCTTTCGCCTCAGCTCCTACTTGCCGCTCTCGCCCCTGTCATCACACCCCTACACCCCCACCTACCCCTGGGGCCAGGCTGTAGTACGTACTGTAGGAGGCGCAGGAGGCGCTGAGGAGCAAGCGAGACGCCCTGGACGAGATGCTACGGTCATTTCAGAGGAGCAGGATGCTTGTTTGCCTACTTGACGTTTGGCCGTTTAAGATGGAATGTACGCTGAAAATACGTACAAGAGCTGGCGACAGAACAAGCGGATTTATTTTCTTTTTTTCTTTTTTTAATTCCTGTGTGTATTTTTTCGTTCCTTTTTATTAAATGAATAATGCGTTTTTTTTTTGTTTTTTTTTTTTTAATCAAATACCTCCTTATTTTATGTTTAAAAAATGAGCAGCCTTAAAGATAATGAAATAAACGTTAACAACCCTATAACGAGTCTTGCTTAGCTGTCTCGAGGGGACTGACCTTGGCGCCTGACCTTATGGGTATAAAAGATCGGGTCAGCGCCCTTGAAAATGTTGCGATTGACCCTTGGCTCTGTGATATACGACGTTTTTAACGAAATTTTTATTCTCTTGGATATAGCAGAGCAGACCCAGCAGTTTTTAAGAAATTGTTTATTTGTGTTTTTATTAAGATTGCCCTTTTTTTCGTGGAGGTTTTTTATTTATTGTTCTATGGCTTGGAAAATAATAATACTTGTGAACGAATCGGCTCGTACTTTTATTTCATCACGTTTTTAAGTCTTATGGATTTTTAGAATTAACGTGGAATATAATTACAGTCACTTGACTTTCAAATAGAGATAATTTCACCCAAAGAATTTAGTGGATATGCATTAAGTGACATTATCGGTACAGTAAATTACCTTTACGTGCTGCGTAGATAATGGAGCAGTGGGTGATTTTAATGCTACCCTTATTAATTTTCACCTGAATCATGATTTCCGTTACTTTCTCATTTAAATTACATTTCCCATTTAACTAATGAATGATTATTATACCTTTTTATGTTTGGTGAATCTGTGACTTACGGGTCTCGGTGAACTACGAAAATCTCAAGCTAACTATGATTTATCTTGGGGATGAAAGGATGACTGTTTTCTTGATGCAGTGATTCTTTTGATTCTTAAAGCTAATTATGCCACCTCTTTAACAATTCTAACCAGTTCTTAGTAATCGAACCCTAATTATTTATTTGTGCCGAAACGGGAAGCACGAGATTCCTTCTCACTCGCTCCTACGGCCCGTCCTGGGACTCCTCCCCCTACTGTATCTGAAAAGTCGCTCACTAGTTGAGCAATAATCCAAATTTGTTTCGTGGTTGCTGCTCGAGAATTCCGAAACACGATATAGGAAACAAGATACAAAGTGGCGGGTAACACATTTCATCACCCTCTGTCGGCCATTGGTCAGTCGTCTGCTGACGTGCTCAGTTATTGGGTTGCTGTGAGCAATCGAATATAGGAAAATATAAGTGTCAAAGGTTTATAGAATCTTTGTTATGATAAGTGAAATTTCATTTATATTGCAGATTAGTCACTGCATAATTAAGGAGGCAATGCAATAGCAGGAAAGACAAATTTGAAAAAGTATCCTATTAGGAAGATGTGTAGACTAGCAGAATATTAATAATGACAAATAAATACGTCTGATGCAGCTGTATTGACTCACATAGCTCTGCGCCGTTAGAAAACCGTATTTTGTATTTTGAAAATAAATGGTAGGTAATGTCAAAAAACAAATAATTTTGAATGAATGTGCTGCCAGTGTACTCTGTCCCATTATTAACATTCCTTGAGCTACTTCAAAGGGCAGCTGGAGCTTGTGACCATCTACCATTCTCAGCATGTCCTCGAACATTAAGAATATACAATTGAAAATCGTATGATCACAAGCAGAATCAACTGACATGCACCTTAACCTGGCATTTACCTTATGACTAAACTAGTTTAGTTTCCTCCAAAGATTTTTGTTTATTCTGTTACTTCCTGCAAGTAGCAATTTTCCAGGTTCAAAATTTGGACAACAGAAAAGACATTTGAACTGATCGAGGTGCTAAATTCCAATCACAGTTTGGGGAAGGTTAAGGGCAGTTTGGTCTGGACGTACAGCAGTAGTCTCGAGTCGCTAGTGTTTCGCAACAGTTGCTAAATTAGGGAGCAACAAATTTGGAATGCTGCTGCTGTTTGGACTAGGCTTGATATTTCACCTAAACTTGATTTAGTTGATGCAGTGTTGTCAACAAGTAATATTCTTAACCAGATTTTAAGCAGTAAATTCAAAGAAATACGGAAGAAGCACTTTATAAGCCAATAGCACGTAATTTTGTTATTATCATAATTAACTAACTTGGCTCCAGGCTCAGGAAGTCGTTGTCACTGTCGTCCTCGACAACTTCACGAGTTTCATTTATGTCATCAGGTGGTACAAGTTGTGCCCCATCGACAACGAGTCCGACAAGTGTTTACAAGAAAGCAACTTCCGTGCAACTGAAAGTTGCTGCCAGTGTTGCAAGCAGTATAACACACGGTAGGGTAGCCTGGAGCTATCCGGCGACGCGTCTCTTTATGCAGTGCCGTTTTATCACAGAGACCGTACTTGGCGCATACCCTGAAGCACAAATAACGCACTTGAGAATGGGGGTTTTCACTGTTTTTAGTATTTTCACCCCCAATTTGAATCGATACGTCGAGTAGGGGGACCTAACCCTGTCAAATGGTTTACAGAACACCGAAAGTTCTTCTCCACCTCAATATTATTTCAAGTATCCCTGCATACAAAGCATCTCCCTCTCTCTCTCTCTCTCTCTCTCTCTCTCTCTCTCTCTCTCTCTCTCTCAGTCGTGGTGTATCTCTCGTAGAATTAGGACGTGTTTGTGTACTGTCCTCAGCCGTGAGAGATTTCCAGAACCCTGTGTTTACCCGCCCCCCACCTAGTCCTTGGACAGGGAGCGGGTGAGGTGCCTCAGGCCCTCCAGTGTTCCGCAATCTACCCAAAACTGTCGTATAACAGTCGTGATCCAAAAAGACAGGAAATTGGATAATTAGTGTCATTTGCAAGAAGAATTTCTGGCAACCGCTCCCTGCACTGACCTCCGCCTCGTGGGCGGGGCTCAGGTCACCTCCCCAGGTGTCAGCATGGCTGGAGTTGCCATACCGGGGTCAAGCAATTATGACATGGAAACTGAAAGTGAATGTGCACGAGTGAAAGGGAATATGGAAAGTGGTTCCCATAAGAGGGAAAGGAACGAAGAAAGCGCAAGTGAGATAAGTGACACCGAGAATAGGTGCGAGCAGGAAGAGAAGAAGAAATATGAAAGCAAGGAAGGGAGTCAGAATGAAGGTGTGAATGGCAGGAAGAGGCTGATATTCCCGCAGAACTGTGCCATGAACTTCATGGAAAAATTCAGATGGCCCATGCAGCTGGGCCGGACCACCGTGGTTTTGAGCCGCTGCTAAAGGAAGGCAGAGGAAGGCCGTACCTCACGGTACGCGCAGGTCAGGCAGAACAAACCCTGACGACTCAAGCGTACAAGGGGACGGTGATGACTGTCCCAAAGGGTGGGGAAAAACTCACGAAAGTGATAATTTTCCAATACCCTATTGTACTGGACCCTGAGTATCCCCTGGACGACGAAAGGTTCGTGTGGGTGAAGAGGAACGAGGCCAGGGGTGAGGAGCGGAGTCAGCTCGTAGCCCTCGTGAAAGGGGAAGTGCCAGAGAGGGTCTTCATCTCTGGAGCGGGGTACAGGAGGGTGGCACCGTATGTGGAGCCGCCAGTCATGTGCCTCAAATGTTGCAGATGGGGCCACAAATCGTGGAAATGCCAACAGGACGCCCGATGTAAGTTCTGTGGCAAGAAACACGATTCTAGGATCTGTCGAGCCAAAATAGAAAAGGGAATTAAGCCTTGCTGCTGCAATTGCGGAGGCTCGCACAATGCCGGATCTCTGGCATGCAGAGCGAGGCCTCAATGGAAAGTAACTTCGGCCGTTCCCCACCAAGGAGTCGCAGAAGAGGCACCGAGGGAGGCAGGGCCGGTCACCATGCAGGCAGAGGTGCCCAGGGAGACAGCAGCTCCTGTCCCGAAAGCCTGGCTGCAGGGCCCACCGGCCATGGTGCCTAAAGAAGATAAGCGACCGCAGGAGCAACATCAGGCGCAGGAAGTGCCGCGCATTAATGATGGGGAGGCATTATCCGCACTCACGCAGATGATGCAGGCCATGATCAAGAGGATGGACGCATTAGAAAAAATTTAGAAAGAAAAATTACCATTAAGGGTAAAGAAAGGACAATAAAATCAAGCATAGTGGAAGGAACATCCTCTGAGGTCTTCCGGTCAGTCCTAAAATGTAAGGATCCGGAGAAAGAAAACCTCCTGAAAAAATGGGAAATTATGCAAGAACTATGGGGAACTATTCAAAAAGTAGTAGAAAGGCATAAGGACACAATCAAAACCTGATGGAGCGTAGTATTAGAATATTATCGTGGAATGTTAGTGGTTTGCTTACCAGAATTACAGACGTTCAATACTTTGTACTGAAAAACAATATTGACGTAGTTTGTCTCCAGGAAACCAGGGACACGAAAGGTGATACTCTCAAACTTAATGATTATAGAGCGTACCACCTTCATGCCGGTGACCGAATACGGGGAGTGTCAACTTATGTCAAAAGTTCAATACCCTCTGAACTAACAGAGACGCCGTGCAGAACTAACGGCATAGAAAGTGTGTGTGTGAAGCTTCATTTGCAACAAGGTGAAATGTATATTGTCAACTTATACATCTCTGGGAGATCCTTTGACCTCAGATATTTACCTGACTGCATGTACTCTGACTCTGCTCTGATAGTGGGTGACTTGAATGCTAGACACCCGCAATTAGAGGAGAGGGGCAATATCAATGATAACGGTAAGAGGTTTTTCCAGTTTTTAAAGGATAGGCCTGATGCATGCTTGCTGGGTGGCAAAGAGGCAACACACATCAAGGGTGGACGGCTTGATTACGCCTGCCTGCTTGGCAGACAGGCGATTCAAGGAGAATGTAAAGTGGTAAGTGAACTACTCAGTGATCATATTGCGTTGTATGTTAAGATAGCTGTACGGAAAATACAAGTTAAATTTCAGAGAAAACGGCTTTCACTTAATGTAAACGACAAAGACCAGTTTGTTTACAACATAGAGAATTGGCATAAACACTATGCACCCATATGTTTAGATAGGTTCAACCGGGATTTGTTGAGTGCGATAGAAAGATGTTTACCCACAACACCCAAGACACACAGAAAGGAAAAGGGTCATGGGGGAAGGAAAAACAGCTATTGCAGTGATAAGACACTTAAGGAATGGGCATACATGCTAAGGTTGGCACACAGGGAGTGGGTACAAAAAGGCAAAAAGGAACAAACAGGAGATATACTCCTTGATATATCAAGAATGTGTGGGGAAAAACGGAAAGAAGTAAGGGAGAAATACTGGAAAGAATTTGCGCAAAACATCGAGGAATGCAAAAGCCTTAAAGAAATATGGCATCACGTCAATAAGGTGAGGGGCAAAACAAATAACCTCATCGGTCACCCACACCCAGAGGAGGAGGCAAACAAACATATTCAGAAATGGGCGAAGGCATCTTGACTGGTGTCATTGCCACAACACACTCGCGATGCTTTAGACGCATGGGAAATTGAACGAAAAGAACAAATACAGTCATCCTTAAATATTACTGCAGTATCTTGTCAGACCATAACTATACATGAACTCTTAAGTGCAATCAAAAGGGGGAAAAGTACATCGCCAGGAGAAGATGGCGTTACATATGACATTTTAAATGCATTAGTAGGCATGGAGAACAGCCCTTTATTAGATCTTTTTAACATGAGCTATTTGGAAGGTAGATTGCCGAAGGCCTGGAAAAAAGCCTTAATAATACCCATTCCTAAATCGTCAGGTGGATACAGGCCTGTATCTGCTTATGCAAGATGATGGAACGAATATTATTAAACAGACTACTGTATGTGATTGGAGATAAACTCTCTTGTAATCTGTACAGGTTTATGAAAGGGAAGGGAACATCTGATTGCCTAATTCAGTGTTTATCCAACGATGCAGAAAAGTGTAGAGTATTTGTTGATTTACAGGGAGCCTTTGATAAAGCCAACGGAGAAGTGATTATGTATGAGTTGGCAATGTTAGGGGCCACGGGAACGTTGCTTAAGTGGATCGGTGACTATTTGTCTGAGAGAAGATCTTGTGTGTGGTTTCAAGGCTGTTTGTCAGAGGAAAAAAATCTTGAGCTGGGAACACCACAGGGAGGCGTTTTAAGCCCAACACTTTTTAATGTACTGATGAACAGAATAGCCTCAGAGAGCTATCCTCAGGGCGTCCAGCCAATTATATACGCAGATGATATATTGATACAAGGGACTACACAGCGCCGTTTACAGACGGCGCTGAACAACTTTAGTAAACTTGCTCAAACATTAGGGCTGGTTATCAATGAAGAAAAGACAAAATTTCAGAGCAAACAAAGGGGCAACGTGAGACTCAGTTTAAATGACAAACAGGTGGAGAAAGTATTGATATAAATATCTGGGAGTATACATTGGCTTTACTGCGTCAAGTAAAGATGCTGAGGTGAATCATATATTGACTCAGTGTAGGGCGCGACTACGGCCGCTCAGAGCACTTGCTTGTCGCGGTGTAGGAGCTGGGGTGCCCTTGCTGAGGCTAATCTACATTAGTACGATAAGAGCCTTGGTGGATTATGCAGCACCAGCACTTTCCATAGCCTGTCAAGGGAGACTCCGGAAACTTGAAACCATACAAAATGAAGCAATGAGAATAATCCTCGGGTGTCAAAGGAATACCAGGATAGATATAATGAGATCAGAGACGGGATTTCAAAGCATTGTACAGAGAGTGAGAGAGATCAATGCAATAGCGGCCATCAGGTTAATAAGAGGGACCAGTGGAAAGAAATTAGTGAGAGATATGGCCAGCGGTTTTAACAACATGAGATCCTTTTATAGGCAAGGCAAGCGAGGATATATGAAGGAACTGAGAAATAGCATTCAATGTTATGGCCTGAAGGATTATTGTCATTCTCATCAAACACCTCCTAAGGTGCCGCCATGGGAGGATCAGGATATTAACATAGATGTAGACCCTCTCTCTATGAATAAATCCATGTATGAACCAGGTCAACTTAAAGCAACGTTCAGCCATAAAATAAATAGTCTAACACGACTTGACATTGCTCATGTTTATTGTGACGGGTCAGTCCTGGAAGATGGCAGAGCTGGGTGCGGAGTCATCATCAGACAGTTCACTGGGAGCGGAGTGGTCACCACAAGCACTGGGATGAGACTGAGCAATCACATATCTTCAACACAAGCTGAACTATGGGCAATACTGACAGCACTTAAAGAGATTGAAATCATTAATAAGGATTCCTACTTCTTTGTGGACAGCAGAGGAGCACTGGCACTGGACTCACTTAACAGCAAGAACCCTGTGTTTGACCACATAGTTGGCGAGTGTCGTTCGATAGCTCATAGGTTGCGAGGTCAGGGGCGTGTGATTGCATTTGTGTGGATCCCTTCGCATGTAGGTGTCACCTTCAATGAAGCTGTTGATGAGATCGCCAAGGGGGCGACCAGGAAGCATGAGGTAGACATTCACTGCATGCGGACTCTTAAACAGGCAAAGAGCAATATCAAGAGGACACAGTTAGACTATGACGAGGCCAGGAAGGGCGAAGCGATTAGGAAAAGCGATACTCTGAGACACTATATGCATCTTGCGACGAACACAGACTTTGCTTATGGGAAGGGCAAGAGCAAATGGAAAGACAGTGTGTACATGAGAATCAGGCTTGGATATAAATACTATTGGGAGTTAGGCGTTCCAGCAAGCGAGAAAAGAAAAGAATGCAGGGTGTGTAGTTTACCTAGATCACATACATTGACGCATTATATATTACAGTGTTCTATGCTTCAGACACATAGAAATGCAGAGATAACAGGTTTACCTGAACAGGCTGTATGGATGATTAGGAACGGTCAGGTATTCGAGATTTTGAAGAGGTACAGGCAATTTGCACCAATATCATAAACATACCTCGCAAAAATGCACAGGTATGTAGGCTGTTACTCCTGCTGAGACTATAATGTTTCCTACCTTACTGTTGATGAATGGCGTATGTTAGGCATCATTCTCCTGAAATACAATCATTCCACTCAACAATTGATTCATCTCTTCTCCGGGATTATAATTATATATTGCGTGCGCATATTTTTTGTGCGCTGTATTTGATTATGTAAGGCCAGGAGAGGACTTATCTGGATGAGGGTGGGAGTGTTATATCACCTTAAAGATATGTAAGCCAATGACTCTGAATTCTTGTAATGCTTGTAATTCTTTATAAATTAAGTGCTGTATTTGATTATAAATATTTTTGTACCTAAGTTTTGTATAATGAATTGTGAGCCCGCACAGGGACTTATTAAGTAAGGGTGAGGATAACATAAGCTACCTCATCCTTTTGAGATGTAATCTTACTTTTGTCTCAATAAACGTGTCAAAGTCAAAAAGTCTCTCTCTCTCTCTCTCTCTCTCTTTTTTCTTGATCTTTCTTTCTCTCTACTACTCCGTCTCTTCTCTTTTTTGCCCCCCCCCCTCTTTCCCTCTCTCTCTCTGTGAAATATGTATGTTGATGATATATTCTACAGAGTCTTACCTGCTTGCCACATAAGATCTTCACACACACATACAAATTCATATACATATGCAGATACATATACATATATACTCCAATGCAATGTTGCTATGCACTGTTGTAACTATCTTTCTTCACCACCTATTGTCTTATGCCAAACACGTGATTTATGGCCACCACTGTACAGTATGGCTCCATACGGGTAGCAAATGAGCAACACCACACTCCTTACTCCATCACTACTCCTACCCGAACCTCAACATTTACCATTTTTTTATAGTCCATCTCATGGTCTCTCTCTCTCTCTCTCTCTCTCTCTCTCTCTCTCTCTCTCTCTCTCTCTCTCTCTCTCTCTCTCTCTCTCTCTCTCTCTCTCCTCTCTCTCTCTCTCTATCTCTCTCTCTCTCTCTTTCTCTCTCTCTCCCTCCCTCCCCTTCCTCTCGCTCTCTCTCTCTCTCTCTCTCTCTCTCTCTCTCTCCCTCCTCCCTCCCCTCCCCCCCCTCTCTCTCTCTCCTCTCTCTCTCTCTCTCTCTCTCTCTCTCTCTCTCTCTCTCTCTCTCTCTCTCTCTCTCTCTCTCTCTCTCTCTCTCTCCTCTCTCTCTCTTCTCCCTCTCTCTCTCTCTCTCTCTCTCTCTCTCTCTCTCTCTCTCTCTCTCTCTCTCTCTCTATATATATATATATATATATATATATATATATATATATATATATATTCTCTCTCTCTCTCTCTCTCTCTCTCTCTCTCTCTCTCTCTCTCTCTCTCTCTCTCTCTCTCTCTCTCTCTCTCTCTCTCTCTCTCTCTCTCTCTGTCCCTCCAAGCAACTACACAAGATAAGCAAACTAGCTTTACAAACGTTTCGGTGCCTCAGCGATTGCAATCAGAATGATTTTATAATAATTTACTAGAGCAGGTTCCTACTCTTAAGACCATTTTACACATTTATGGCGTCAATGGCAAAGTATGAATTTTAACTGATACTGGAACTATGTATCAAAAATTATGCATGAAATCTACAGACAAGCTTAGGAAAAGTATCAAGATCAGCAGGTGCAATATAGTATTACATAGGGATTGTGTAGCAGAAAAAATATATAAAGGTAAGAAAATTCTAAAGAAAAATAAAAGCGTATGTATGTATTTATGTATGTATGTATGTATGTATGTATGTGTATATATATATGTATATGCATGCACGTATACATGGATACGTACATACATATGTATATACATCTGTGCGTGTTTGTGTAATAATCCTCAAGAATGTAATAACCCTCAAATAGATATGGGATTTGGATGCAAAGAAATATCTTTAAAACAGACTCAAATGATGTAAAGAATTGGGTCCTTTGGGTTATCTTCTAGGAGTGCAGGTCATCATGTAATGGCACACAACGATGTTAGCTGGCCACCAGCACCAGGGACGCTTCAGCACACACCAGTTTCCAACCAACCAGTTCCAAAACGTCCACATATACATAAAAAGAAGAAGAAAAAAAAGAAAGTTCACTTAATGACGCATATTCATTCACACACAACACACACATATATACAGTCATGAAGTCTGAGTCTTGATAACCATTAATATGTACATATATTTATCTATATATGTCTATATATATACACATATAAATATATATATATATATATATATATATATATATATATATATATATAATATATATATATATATATATATATATATATATATAATATATATATATATATATATAT